AAGAGAGAAATAAGAGGGATCGGTGGCGCATAGGATATTCCGGACGCTAGCGTTTATGTTTGAAATAGACATTCTCCACAAGGTCAATGTAGTTCTAATTCTCCTAATACAATTGTTTGAACCATAGCTGTAAACAAGGAATATGGTTGGTATACTGTTTGTATATATTACGAGAGTTGATTGTATCACCTTTAATTGGCAATTAATTAAGTAAATTATTCTGCATCTAATAAGACAGGTTACTGACTAGATCGACTAGAGCAAACAAACCGATCAGAGCAGCTTTAATAATATCGCTTTCCAACGATAAAGCACGCCTATGTTATTTCCCAGCCGAAGTTTACTCCAGAGAAACTGAACTGTTTTATTGAATTACAATGTGAGGGTGTGGATGATCGACTGTATGTTATTTTCAACGTTCGAACATCGAAAAGGGTAACCGTTTTGGTTGGTTAATATACTGTTTTCGTGCGACAGGCTGTCAAGAAGCCACGCGATAAAAGGTATATTCCATGCATCATTGATGTTATTTGTGTATAGATACACATTGCCCAAATGGTATGTCTCATGCATGCTCATCTGTCTCTTTGTAAATCGGTTTATGTCACTAACAATTGGTTATTACTGGTACTACCAGACCATGAAGTTTTCAACAATCAGAAAGACGGACAAAGACTTCGCCAAGCTTATTCCAAACGTGTGGTTCTTGTAACAAGGACGTGTTCAGTACAATAACATGCTTATCAATGTGACACATTTACGTAGTAGCAGATGCAGTAAGTGAGTATACCACAATCTCGTTTATTTGTTTCTATCAAACATCATTGGTCAACAAGGAATGACTTTTTATCTTACAAAAATATTCGCCGAATATTCCAAGACTATTTAACAAATAGATATTTCCATTAATCAATGTGTCATGATGTCTATTGCCGAGTCCACGTTACGCCTTGTCTTTTGTGCATAAACACGAAAAGTTCGCCATTCAGTGCGGTTCTCGGTGGCTTCACGAACAAATGTTTCTATTAGTGCATCAAAGTGTTCTGAGCTTATACACATTGTATCTGCAAGTGGCTTCTTCAAAGCGAGCCATGTCCATATTAGATTTTTCAAGGCCTAGAAAAAGGACAAAGTTGATTAGCTCGATTGATCGATTGTCTAGATATATAACACGGGATCAAGAAGATGGCTGTTCTGCTTACCAATTCACCAAATCGACCGCCTCTCTTCCCTAGTGGTATCCGTTGCTCCTCATATGAGATATTTGATAATCTACAAGTATTTTCGAGATATGTCGTGAGATTATCTTCAAAGCGCATGCTTATCCCTTTTGATTTGAGAAAAGTCGAAACTGCAATGAGAGGAAATGTACAATGTTATTATTTACGATCTTCAAGCACATCCACGAAGATACAACAATTTATTCCTTGAAGACTCTACTCACATGCATTGGTCAATCGTTTAGTAACACGGCCGGGATTGACAAACGAGCAATATCCTTCCATGAATTCAACCCATCCCCCAACTCGCGTCACGCGTACTAGTTCATTTACGACGTGTGTTTCCCACTGTTGTTCCGTGAATGCTTCGAATAGCAACCCTTGTCGGACATAATCGAATGAATCAGCAGCAAACGGGAGGCCTTCGAGAAGATTGCAATCGAAGAAAGAAACATTATGAGGAAGGTTGGTTGTAGGCGACATTGGGGATATGTCGATGCCAACAAATTCTGAGCGGGGAAAGTCGATAGACATGTCGATTACCCACGAACCAGTGCCCGATCTGAGCAACAGTGGGAGGATGGAAGCGTAGGTCAGTAACGGGGCTATTTGTAGATTAATAACCAACTCGATCCTCACCATCTCCCCCCTCTCCTCCCCTTCTTTGCTCTCTTCTCGCGAAAATACTCACCCAGAATCTAACACTTTGGCACCACCAACATGTAACAATTCCGTGATCGGGGATGAATACAAGCCATGCCAAAAATGTTTAAACACTGCATGCTGTAGTGCCAATCTCTCCATCTCTTCCTCGTCATAGACTGGCAATGGATATTGTGATTCGGCAATGTTAAGATACAATCTTCCATCGACGGTCCGATATTTACTTCGTGGAGCTTCGTCGTTTTCACGGTACTTTTTCTGTGGTTTGGGAGATTGAGTGGTCCATGCGCAGTAGCCCATTACACGTGCAAATTGCTTTTTCATTATGGTGGTTCGTCTCATTATGATTTAGGTGAAGAGGAATATGTATAAGCAATAAAGTGGATGATGCACAATTGGAAATATATGCGTATGCAAGAAAAGATATATATATGTATAAGATGTATGTATTTATATGTATGAAAGGTAGGTATGCGAATAGGTTAATAATGTGTAAAGGTAGGTCAACTACGGAATATAATGGTTTTTCGTGATTATGAAGGATGTGGTAAATTGATGATTTACACTCTGGATTCATTTATCTATAGTTGTTTCTTCATTCACACTGTGAAGTCTTTTGCCTCTACCGACGTAATTTCTTTTTGAATTCTATATTCCTCTTTGGCACACATGCACACACACGCACTCACTCTCTCGTTTATTTCCTTTTCCTTTTATTTTTTCCCTTTTAACTGATAACTGACTAGAGGTCAGTAGTCAGCCAGACAAAAATGTCTATTTAGTGAAGGGGGATGATCAATTATTTTACGCTTCTCTCGGATATAAATACTTGTGATATTTGATTTTGGAGACAGAGAAAGGGAATAAAAAGCTCCCGGCCAACCGTTGTGGGGGTAATATATCTTTGTTTAATAATCCCCACTAAGCTTTGACGATCCGGATGCAACCGTCTTCCGTTGTTGCTGACAACGGGAATACATAACGCATGCGTGGCCTTTGTTTCATAAACAAAGTACTAAATAGGAAATTAGCCAGAGATTCTGGAGCAGTGAGCGTATAACTAAAGCGGGTTTTAATACCATTATTTATTTACGCTCATGTATTTATTTATTTATTTAAATGAGGAATGGCCTTATGCGTATCGGTTGCAGTTGCCCGATATGGGTTAAAGTATGTGGGTGTTAGACTTTATTGGATATGATTTGCACAAGTTATTTTAACGTAACAGTGTAAGGGAGCACAGACGGTGTTATTTCTTTGTTCAGGGGCAGAAAAGGCGTTTAGCCTTATTCTTCCACCGAGAAAAACGAGCAAAAAAAATTGACACAAGGCAGTGGAAAAGAAAGGCAATTAACGGCCTTATTAGTCGGGGAGGATTCGGCTGATAAGAGAAACAGCAATTTACACAGTTAAAATTGCAAAACTGGGCACATATTATCTGCTGCGTGTTATATTAATATGGAAGATCGACAAGACAAATGAGTTGTTGATACATTGTCGATTTTACATCCAAATAAGCAGTGCGTGATACATCATATCGTCCCAGATAAATCAACAACCCCACCGCCTCATGTACTAAAATAATCTAACAACCATCAAGGTCGGTTAAAAACAGCAAAGAACTGTAACAATGGCAATGACAAGAATAGCCTTTTAGCACTCGTTCTAAAGTTCTATTTGCTATTCCACTGTACATTCCAAACATCAAAAATAGCCCAACGATCAGCAAACTCTATTCAACTCAACTCTACTTAACCATGACTTGTTCACTTTTAACGAGCTCTCTTTCCTCAATCGGTATATTCTCGCGGTTTAACATTTAGCGAACGGATCGACAGCCCGTTTCGATCTTGTACCAGCAGTTTATGGTTAAAAATAGTTTTTTTTTCTTTCGAGAAATTCAAACGCACACTTTTGTTTTTTCTGGGAAGAAATGTAGAATTCTCCATTTAGAATACATCGAATCATGAGGGGCGGGAGAGTGACGGATGAAACGAGATAGATCCTCTGCTACGATATGCAAAACGTAGTGTATAATAGGGCATACACAGACCACTCAATTTATTAATTAAGTGTTTTGTACATTCATATTTTACTAATCCCACTTTATATGGTGTTTTTTCTACCTCTGATTTTTACCTTCATCCATCGGGACCTCTTCTCATTCCGGAAAAATCCTTCCACGTTGAAACTTTTTCAAGTTTCCAACATTCCATTTCTTTTAACGCATTGCCCGCTTAATCATCTACAAACAAAATAGAATTAACGTTTTGGCTGAACATTTCTTTCCCTAGTCTTATAGTCTGATTGGCCAACTTCATTAACGAGCCGTGATCAAAATTTGGGCCCCGTGGTTAGCAATTATGACGTATTTACCCTTTCCAAAATTTTGTCATTAATTGTCGCACTTTGAGATAATCTGTTCATCAACACTTGTATGTTTGTGTGGTAATTATCATTGGCTCAACGTTCCGCAAAGAGCATGCCAATGATGTAACTAATTTGTCAGCTGAGGTATGGAATGTAACCATTTGTAGCAAGTGTAATTTAATGGATTCTGCGTCATATTTTCTAACGTATCACGTTACTATTTATTTGTCCTTGGCAAGTGGCCAAGCTTGTAAGCCCAATCTGATGACTGAGCTATTTTTTCTCAATAGTCAATGGACTGCCTTTTCTAGCGGTAAAGATTATCTCGCATAGACTAGACCATATTGTTCAACAACCCTTGATGGAAACTGTTAGACTAGTAAACATTGTGCTTGGGAATTGAGTCATTATTTGTCGTATGCCCAATTAAGAGAATAGAAATGGTTTGGTCTTGATCTGATAAAATATATACAATTAACAGGGACCCCTGTGCATGGCTGTGGGGGAAGCCTCCCGTCTAAAGTATTGTCAATACGCTGTTAACGATTTAATCGATTTGCCTATTACAAATACGAATAAATACTGTTGAAACGTCTCTGCATTATCAACCAGCCCCTCCATCTCGCATAGTTAATATGATACTCATTCGCAATATCAATCAACGTCATTTTATACTTGTTACCATTGTTCTCGTAGCAACCCGCCTAGACAATTTCGATTGTCAATGGCTAATTAAAGTTATCTTATCTATTGAAACACGTAAGATCTAGCTGCAGGGAAAAGTCACAACGGAGAGCGTAAGAGTCCGTGGGAATGGGAACACGGAGAATCTATTATTAAGAGAACAATCGTAAGATACTCGGTAATTCATTAATGTATTGCGGCTGAGATTGAGGCACGGTGGATGCACATATAAAAATATAGCAAAGAAATTAATATCTCCGTACAATAGTATACATTGTCTATACCACGCTATAAATAATAATAATTGAAAATGATTGGAACATCAACAATTATCAAGATGCTCTTGCATAACATTCGTATATCCGAAGGACAATGGGGTATATTATTTTTACCATTCGGCCATTAATCGATCTATTGGAATTTGATAATCAGAAAAAGTTCAATGATCATACCACCCCCGCATTAGAAATTATTCGGATTTGGGTGGTATGACATTTACCCCACACAAATCATCCGATCAGTGGCAACTAGCAACTAACAACATTACGTCAGTAAACAAATATATGACTTCTTGCTGCGCCGGCAAAAATAGATATTTAAAGGGACGCATTTTGAGCTGACCAAACTCACAAAAAAATTCAAAAAACAACCGAAAGACACAGGTTAATTAATTACTTACAAACAAACAAACAAACAACAACATCGACTCTACCTTAAGTATCTACCATCTGCTAAACTAAACACACTCGACACTTTTAAAATGGGCGCCACATTTTCAGTCAACGATCCTCACTACGCGTCATACCCCAGAGAAATAGCCGAGCAAGAATATAAAAATTCGGAAGAACGTGTTCGTCCATCGAATCCCAAATATGAAATGCCCGATAACATTGCAGACTTGGAACGTTTGGAAACCCAACACTACCTAATGAGATATCTCTGGCAAAGCAATTTCGAAGCACCAGTCGATCAAGTCTTAAAATCTTCTGACGCAAAAGTTCTCGATGTCGGCTGCGGACACGGTACCTGGATATTCGAATTGGCTCAAGAATATCCTAACGCACAGTTTACCGGTATCGATACCGAATCCTTCTTACCCAAGAGAGAATCATCCGACAACATCAAGTTTCTCGAACACGATTTGCAACATGGATTGCCATTCGCCGATAATACCTTTGATTTCGTACACATGCGGTTCTTGACTCAATACATCTCGGAAAAGACTTGGGAGGACGTTATCGTCAAAGAGCTTGTTCGAGTGGCCAAACCTGGTGGATGGATCGAAATCATCGAGTTCGATTATCCTCATTACAGTGCTGGTCCCAAGACACGTAAATTCACTAAAGCCGGTGAGTAAAGCAAATTTCTAGAGTAACGTTTGATTTAGCACACTTGCTCCGCATAATTATGATTCTAACCGTAATTTTATTATTTTATAAAAATCAGCCATGGAATTCCTTGCTTCAAAGGGCTTTAACGGTTTGTTAAGTCTCAAACTCCCATCATTCCTCAAGGCTACAGGCCAAGTAGGTGATATCCGCAAACACGACAAATCAATTGCACTTGGCAAGTGGGCTGGTAAAGTCGGTGAATTTGCTATTCAAGACATGTCATTATTGGTTACGGAATTACGTGCCGAATTGTCATCATTTATGAATATCTCTGAGGCTGAATATGATCAACTGTTGGAGGATTACAAACAAGAAGTAGAAAAATTCAAGAGCTTCTTTAAGACGCACAGATTCTTTACACAAAAAGTGAATGTAGACGAGAAAACTGGAATGCCTATTCTGTAACTTAATACCAAATCCACTAGAACTTTTTTACGCTGTTAGTATCATCCTCACTTAATATTTTATTAATCTTACCTTATGTATAACAATATTGTAATTTTTCATGATTCAAAAGTTAACACTATATATTGTAGAAATAACTGTTAACAAAATTTTACAGTAATAACGAATCTTTCAAGTAAATAAAAAAGACTGTCAAATATAACCAAGATCCAACGGTCTATCAGTTAACAGTTCCCTATCAAGAAACCGTGTGTAATGTTTATGACACCATCTCGACCGCATGCAGTAATACTTATCAAGTGAGAACATTTACAAAGTTATTACAAATCGCATCAGAACGCTCACAAAGTTTTTCTTTGATCTCTAACGCTAACGGCTATTAAAACTTTAAATAAGAGTTATCTCGTAATTGGTGAGCGATCAGATTAGAATTCTTTGTTAGAGTATATGCATATATATGCGAGGTCTGGTAGGAAGACCCCCACACCACTAGAACATATTCGCCTAGCTTTCACAACGGGCTCTGTTAAACATGGGCTAGAAAGAATACTTTGTAGGTGGGGAAAACCACTAAGCGAGGGGTTATATTATAACTACGAAGAAAACAAACGGGGGGATATAGGGATTATATGACAGTAAGCATTAGCGATCGACCAATAAGCGCCACATGCTGTATAACATTTCGAACAATTGTAAATATGATAAAATTATGTATTATTTTTGGCTGTCCAGCCAATGATATATGCGTACGTAATCATGTTTATAGTTTCACTAATAGTAATACAAGTATCAGCATGAATGTCGTCTTCCATGCAAGTTCAGAATGTTGGTGAATTGAAGTTACATATCTTAAGACTCCCAATCATAATCACAGACATGAGTCATACAAAATTTTCCATTGTAAAATTTAACTGGTCGAACTGGTCGAATTAGTCAGATTGGTCGAAAGTGGCCAAGTTGGACCGAAGTATCTTGAATTAGTAATGGACCCTGACTTACATGAATAGAACCCCCATTATAAATTTATCTTAAACCCTGTGACCGTTTGTTACATAAAAAAAGAATCCCAATGGAAACAATCCCACTGTACAGATTGTATTCGATACGGCCGAAATCCATTGTCATTATATACGCATAAAGTTATGAAAGTGGTATGGTATGGCATGATCACTATCAGTAAAACACAATCGTACTTTTCCCCGAAATAGATATTATGGATCTCGTAAATTGTTTTTCCTCTGCATTCAAAGTGTATACATTAACGTTTATAAGGATTCGCTGAGAAACTGTGGAAAATACGTCATCAAAACCATTTCTGTAAATCTTTAATTAATGAATGAATGAAATGAAAAAACAAATCCTACACCCTATCCACGATTGTCGCGAATGGCCCATTCTAACCCAATTCTAGGCGTATGAAAGTGTGTCTATTCATCAACATGACATTAACTTGCAATTCATAGAACTATTTATTTCCATTACAAGCTAATAGACCCGGTCCCTGGAAACCGAACTTAAACCCGCGTGTATATAGAACACACATAATCACAGTTGAATGAAACTGTTGCCTATTAAAGAATTAATATACAATTTGCACGCGAAGAATGTAGACATTTAATGTGAATAAACGCGATTTGTTGTAACCTTTTCGTTAATTAAAGTTTTTTGAAAGTACCGTCATAACCCAGAAAGGACAAACCGGAAACCGGGAGAGAATATATAAGCGATGCAAGCTTAGTGAGAAAATACTCGTCTTTCCAATTCTAGAAGCAGGATTGCAGAGACACTAAATATAGACGGTATATTAGGTATCGGATATTATTAACACCCACCCAAACACAAACTCCTCCGCCCCGACCACATACGTAGGAGCTTTTTTTTTCCCTGTTTACCGGACCAGCTTTGGAGCTTGTTTGCCTGCCTGTCAAGCTTTTGTCATATCAATAACATATCCAATACTCTGATTCCCCATCCTGAATTCTGCGTCAAATGTCGTTATCAAAGTACCACATTGTTATTTATCACGCGGCAATATCTCACCAAAATCCGTACTTCATCTATCGCAAGCACTTGGGCGATGAGCTGGCGTCTTTAGGCCAACATGTGGGTTTCGGTGAGCTCTCCAAGATGGCAGCCACCAGGTGGCACGCCTCTCAAGAACTGAGAAACGACTATATATTCAAAGCAGAAACAAGAAGGTGTGAAAAAAGGAGAGGCAAAGTTAGACGGCAAAGAAACGGTCTTAAATGGTATGTTTCTACACCAAAGCAACCTCGAGTTTTTAGAAGATATGAAGGCGGAAATTTTGATAATGAAATGATTAATAACGAAAGCAATACATGTGAAATTGAAAAAAACGATACTATTCTATTTGTCAACTACTTCAAAACGGCCATGGCCAAAAAACATAACAAAAAAAAAGATGTAACCACTGCAAACAGAAATATTTTTAATGATACAACTCCAATGTTTTATGAAAATACCCCAATGTTTTATGAAAATGATGATTATGGAATTCCGTTCTGGTTTTCACCACAACTTTTAGAACCAAGTAGACTTGAAAATGAGTAAAATTTAACAGGTTTTCGTTGAACATATATATTTTTATTTAGTAAATTTATAAACAAGTTTAGGAAAAAGAAAAAAAAATTGGAAAAAAAAAAGTTGAAAAAAAAAAAAGTTTAATTATTACGTTATATATATTTTAAAGTTTAGCAAATTATGAAATTTACATGCTTTTATGTTAAAAACAACAGTTTTTTGTTTATAAGCTTATGATTAGTTATGACAAAATTTACAGCGAAGTTATGTTTCTATTTTATTTTTTTCGAAAACGTCCTCTTGCAAGAACGTGCATAGCAAAATAAATAAAATAAAATAAAATAAAATAAAATAAATGCTTACTGTTTCGTAACTGAGCAAACACCAATACGAGGCGGAGGAGAGCAGTTTAGTAGCGTCTGTTTTTGATAATACTTTTGTCCAACATTACCCAAATACGAGTGACAAATTGGAATGCATCCACTTCCCTCTTCTATTATGAAAACGAAATAGTTGTTCATGTGTTATTTTCCAAACATTGCCGTAAAGGGGATTTTCTTCGCGTTCATTTGAGCGCATGACTTTGACATTATGGTCTCATAAGTGACAGAATCCATTTGTTCTTTTCGACTTGTTTCGAAACGACTTTTTTTTTTTTTTCGGATTGTTTTCTGAATCATAATTGGTGTTTGTATTTCACATAGTCGTACGACCAACATAGCATAGATGTTGATTATCATTGGTTCAATAAAGAGTCTTTGTTTAGAAACAGGAAAGGGGGCGGGAAGGACGAAGGGGGAAGGTGAGAGCGAACTGCGAATATTTTGGTAGCCGGTCACTAATGAATAGTCAAATATTTTCTATGCTTATATAGGAGTTATATGGATCCCTTATACTGTCTAACTTTATGGGACGTATTATTCGGTGGGGGTTCCGTAATGACGGTCAGTAGAATCACAACGCCCGGATTACCATTTTTAACTGACGTGCATCAATGTCTTTTTCCGATTAAGACAATAAACGCATAATATTAATACACAGTCGGCTCTCATGGTATTATGTCTGGTTTGAGATTATCCAATTTTTTTTTCAGCCGAATGATTTCATCCGTCAATCCGTTGTTACCCAAATCAATTCATACTGCCATCGACTATTAACGTGGTATTATCACGGCATTATACTCTTATCTATTTCCCATAACCACATGGTTTTTGGGTCCCCTCTCCTCCCTTGTGCATGCTAGAGCTATTTAGTCTAACAAGGAACGTATAAAACTCGATATGAAATTCATATACGCATTTACTCTACTCAAACACTATTCTTTTAGCCTGGTATTCGGCAGCAAATCATTGGTAATTCAAATGTAGATTGCAACAACATCAATGAAAGTCCTTTGACATAGAAAATTGTTAAGAGTCTGATTGGGTTGTACTTAATGAATTATTTAGTTGCAGGGGGGTTAGAGTTATAAGTTAAGACAAAGACTGGATGATAGTGCAACCACAAATCCGGATTTACCACCATTTCGGTAGTAGGAGTGTGTTTCATATGCGATGCATCTATAAATAAATCGGTTTGCATACATGCAAAATGTAAGTTCAATTATCGTTCAATTTATTTATTACGTAAATAATTAAATATTCGACTCACGAGTACGACTATCAGAGTTGCACTCATTGAAATTGGTGATCAAAAACTGCAAAAAACAACAATTAGTCTCATAGGTACCGAATTACTTGTACAGATTTTACTGTTACAAGACAGAATTTGGGACTGATTTGAAAGAATACGAACATTCCATAAACGAGAGTTAATGGCAAATCTGCGACGGTTTGGTCATAAACATTGCCCCATTTCCATGCAAACAAGATGTGCTGGATAGTTCCAAAATGGGGTTTGGGGAATAACTCTATTCCGTTTTCTTCCATTCCATTCCATTCTCATCTATACCGCAAACATTTTTGTCGGTGCTCGTTTAATTACTAACAAACTTTCATTGCTATTGCCTTTTTCCCGTTAGTTCTTTATTAGCCATTGCGAATCGATACACAAACAAGCACGTTAGTCTTGCACAACTAACCGATGTGCACCACATTTATATGCAATCAATATTCATTAGGACGCACCGTGTATCTGACCCTTTTTTGTTTTTCAACGTATAAAAAACACAACGAACTTTTTATCAAGCTATCAAGTGGTTTGAACTGACGCAAGTCTAGCCAAATTACAAGGGCCTTCTCAACGAACATTGGTCATTTTCCACTGCAGTCGATCAGGGGGGGACAAGTATTTTGCTTAGCCAAATTTGCGTAGTACCGATGTTTTTCGTTGTTCCCAGCACACAACACAATAGTAATTAGTAATAATGCTAATACTAGGTATTCGGTTTGAATTGTCTTGGTCAGTCCGAGTGGGTTTCGCAAAATGCGTCCATGCATTAATAAAGAATATTTAACTGTGCTGTCGGAAAGCAAGTCTTGTTATCCTCATATAATCCCTACCCTATAAGCATTGTTTTCGCAATCAAGTTTAGTAAAGGGATGGAGTTAAGACTAGGACAAAAAATAAACAATCGTAGCGTTTATAATATTTATCGAACCAACAGAATAATAACCGAATACAGTGTAGAGTCATTAATCCCTTTTTGGTATATCGGAAACATATAAACTACGCCAAGAAAGCGTATGACACACTGCATGTTTTTATATAAAGACTGCCCATCCCCTCTCCCCATTCCTCACTCGTAAAATTCTGAACCAAGCAAAAAAAAAAAAAAGAGATAAAAACATCCAACATATCAACACACACATTTTTGTAATACCCCCCCCCCCCTTCTGCAACAAAATAAGATGCCAAAACAAAGTCGCAAGCGACTGCCCCCAAGTGTCACTCCTGGTGAATTTTGCACATTTCTCGATATTCGTTTGACCACAACTGAACAAAATCTCTTGCAAAATCCCCCCTTCAAGCACACGCTACCTCTCGAAAAATTGTTAGACCCGACACCATCTCCGCGTTCGAGACGCCGTGCCAAGACGTGCTATGCGCCGCGGCCACAGAATGCATTTATACTGTATCGCAGAGATTTTGTAGAGCGGGTGGCGAGAGCGAACGGGAAAATGGTGCTGCATAGTATCTCGAAAAAAGCGTCCGAGTGTTGGAATAACGAGAGCATCGAAGTACGTCATTATTTTATCGTATTAGCCGATTTGTGCAAAAAAAGGCACGCAGAGAGATTCCCGGGATACAAGTATTCGCCGAGACAAAAGAGAGATAGATACGACAACAATAATGGTAAATGTTTTTTTTTTTTAAATCGCGAGATACATCAGTTATGAAAAAAAAATATAAATCAATAGTTAACCATGATTTATCTTTATTCTCTTTTCCCTACAGTTGTACCAAGCCAGACTGCGCACGAGAGTCAATTTCAGTTCATCTCAGCATTAAACAATTCTCCTTCTCCGTCCTTGACATACGAGTCGCCCTCGTCAATGTCGCTATCTCCCAACCCATCCGAAGTGTCATCTCCATCGCTCCATGCAGTTAGCCCGGGCATGTATGTTGAAAATGGACCGATGATATATGACCCTAATTATGTCAACTACGAGACTCTTTTATTCTGTGATATGGGATTAGCACCAACGCCAGACTCGTATAGCTTGAATGATCCAAGTTACAACATGGTGGAATACATGCCTGAATTTACTGCGAACCAGGCACCAAACGCCGAGACTTGGGTCAATGACAGTGTCAACACGGATGGATGTGAAAACATTGATGAAAATGACTATTTTATTTTTTGATAAAAGAAACCGATTTATCATTCTAATTATGGCGTATAATACATTTGGCTATAAATTAAGCGTATTTATGGTTTGCTTCTTTATAATATGTTTACTGTCTTGTTTATTTCTTTCTGTTTGCTTTTTTCCCAGTCTTGTTATCCTTAACTTTAGAATGGTGTTATAGTTTGAGATAATTGTGCTTTATTTTATGCATATGAATAAATTTGTGTATCAAATATGTATATTTTAGGTATCTCATCGTTGTGAATAAATAGAATCCCAAATTGATAGAACACGGAATAAGGGGAGACTTGTTGTAACCGTTAATAAACTCATAAATGATATCTTGTGTTTTATTATAATACTACGGGTTACGTCGCGTTCACAATCAAATCTATCAGTTAATAAATCGAGTTGATCGATCGATCATTAATTTAGCAAATTATTACAAGTCAACGTTGCACGATACTTTGCCAACGTACTGGCAAAACCTCTTACCTTCATATGAAATTGGTCTGTTTGTATGCAAAAGAATTTACATCAATAAATTTCAAATTGTCGGAATGCCCCTTTATGGTAGTCAGTTCCTATAACCCGTGTTCTGTACTTTATTACCTGCCTTTTGTAGAAGTCTACATTCTCCATTCCGTAACCAAAAACATAGTTGTTGGGACAGAACGTATTCGAATATGCTTCGTGGTGGTATGTCTTGTTGTACCTCGATTCGGGACTTGTGGTTACCCATCAAAAAGCACTCGTTTCACTTTATGCAATTTGATATCAATTGATTTATCTGTGCATATGCTGCTTACTTGTTTGAGAATTAATATTACAGACTGATTCCTTTGGTTTTTATTCCAAAAAAACTATTGTGTCCCTACGTCTTTGCGCAAGTGTTGCTTACTATATGACGGTAAGAGCATGTTACTTTACATACATGCACATACATTGTGGGACCATGTTTCTGTTTATTTCCTTATTCCGTTTTGTATGTTAATCGATAACTCACTTAACAGAATAAATTCGTTGGTAGACAAAATTACCTTGGTTATGTATTTATATTAATTAATCTTTCCCCCCTTTTTAATTTGCGTACTTTTTTTGAATCTTCCGAACGCTTTTTGCTGTGCTGACAGAAACACAACGTTATTTACATCAACATAGAGAAAATAATTCGGCATTTTTAATATCTACAATGAGGCTGGTTATGGTTGTAGTCAACTTGATAAATGAACAGCTGACTAATCTAAGATACTTGTATCATTCAATGTCTAACTTGACTACATACTTTGACACCTTGCAATTATACTTGCATCGTTGGACCGAGACAACTAAGTTATGATATGGATTTTGAGCAGAGACATATCTATGCCCTTGCTCACAACAACATTATTCAAGCATTATTCAAGCACACGTGCGCAGAGTTCAACGAATTTTTGCCATCCTGTTCAGTTTTCTTTACCTCAAATTGCAATAGCAAGTTGAACAAGGCAGCAAAGTATATTTCTTGATACCCATCAGTCGCCTAGCTTACACCATTGAATTAATGAAAAGATGTTGTGACTTTTTGGTTTAAATTTAGTATTTGTATCATAGGATATAACCCAACTTTGATACTGGACGGATTTCCTTTATTGTTACATGTAAGTTGTATCTATATGCGCGCAGCTCTTCTCGCTGTAGTTATCATAAGATTTTATGCCAACGCTGTTCCACTTATCCCCAATATCGCAATATCCAATACCCCATATCTTATGCATGTTATTCGAGTTGTTATTCGCCTTACACGTCGATCTCTTAAATCTATTGGTTTGGCATGCAGGTTTTAGACTGCGCTTTATGCTTAATACTGGAGATCTGACACGTGGGCTGACAAAAGGTAGACACTAATTTTGCAACAGGGTCATGCCATTTTTATGATCAGATCATGCTAACATCGTCGAACTGCCAATTATATACGTAATCTCGATTATATGCTATTCATACTCATCACGTTTTCACTGCACGCATCTTGCTCTCCATAGCAACTATATCAACGGCCTCTCTCCTCTTAGTATTTGTCAAGCATTTTAGCTGGTTTTGCTTACGCTGACTGCAAGCTCGACATAGTAGAAATATAGTACCATAGATGCCAATTAGTCTAGAATTGAAATGATTCCAGTCAGTCCAGTCTTACTTTAAGTCGAATTACAGACGGATGCTGTTTCTAAGTACATCAGCTTACGGTTGATGACGCATTTGCTCTTGGTAAGTGCCACTGTAATGATGAGGATACGGTTGGTTGGGTGTAACTTCTTATCATTTAAGATGAATCGAATGTACTGAAACTTAGTAACATGATCGTGCGCAACATCTTGCAAAGACGTCTATACATTGGTGTATGTTCGCGTAAATGCACTCGCAAATAAAGGAATACATTTGCCAAAAAGAAAAGCTTGTTTTATTGTACCGACTGGCATAGCTCAGCTAACTAACTCATACGCAAAATTGTTATTTCCATACACTTACTATATTGCGACAGAAGGTTAGACAGTCTTCTTATTGATGACAAGGCTAACGCTCACGCCTGTGATCCAGTAAGCGACTATTGTACCTTATTATATGATTCACGGAATAATGTAATGGACATCGTGTGTTTCATAATACTTTTAAGCAGACAGCACGGTGTGGGTCAAGAAGAGCGCAACTATTTATAATACAATGCATTCTCAAATCCAGCCATATACAGACGTTCTGGTAGATTATGTCGTATGAAGAATGGCAAACGTCGCCTTACAAGAAATGCTTTCTGGGTACGTGACAGTAACATTATTTCAACCAGAATGAAGAACTGACCGAGGCTGTATTTTTTCTAATAGCTCGACAAGGAATACTTAGATTTTGAATTAGTAACCCAAAAATTAATCGGTGTCAACATATTAATATTAACAGTTAAGAATTAAAATATACTTTACTGTAAGTGTAGATTTATTATCAACGATAGGGTAGTTATGAATATTACATGTAAATGCCGGCAAATGACAAAGTGTAAGAAACCAGATCCCGTTGCCAAAATATTTCCCATAAATATATTCCTCTATGGCACCATTCTATAGTAAATAACCACACACCTCCTTTCTAGTGATTAGCTCCGTACCTTGGCATGCATTTCACGCCATCTACCGTATTTACACAAATTTCATTGTCCGATGGTCCTCTAAGACCATCAATGGTCCCGCTGAAAGCACGCTCAACAATCGCTCGACCTTCAGACGCAATCCTATCTGTTTCTCGATCCGATAATGATCGCTTGACCATGTTGATGCGCTTCTGTGGTTTATGGTCGGTATTAAACTTACCGGGACACAATTCCGACGGTTGACCGTCAAAGTTCTTTCCAACGCAGATATTACCGATTTCTGTCACTCGACTTTTTGTGGAAATGTTAAAAATCGAATTAGCACATTTATTGATTCAAGCAACTCGCGCCAATAAGATACTCCTACTTGATATTTACTCTGCATTGACAGCCCCATCATCTCTGATATTTGAAATAATATAGTAAATGGTTAGTTTTTCTTTTCTTGTGATGGAACGGATAAACAAAGTTTCATACAAAGTCAAATGAGCTTTCATATTAATACGGCTAAGCACCTTTTTACTACGGCCGTGTCGGCGTCCGTTAGTGGCCTGCCAGTAACAGTGACGGACGACGCAAAGAGCACAAAGATCGCAATTGATATCAAGTTACAAGTCTTAACCATATTGTTTGATGGTATGCGGGAGAAAATACGGTGTAGTTTAATGTTTATTATGAATAACGAGAGGCGGAGTGAAATGTGTTCAATCTATTAAAGATCGCACGGTTATATGGTAAGCACCTTGTAACAAGACGACGGAACTGTAAATAAAAGAATGAGAATGCAACAGGTATAGTCTAAAGCTATCCCGGAATTTGAATTTTTTTAAAGTTATATTTCCCGCAGACTTACATTCCCTACGCATATTATATATACCCTTTGGATTGTTGACTAATCTCGAGTTGTTGATTGGGTGATTGATAATGATTCACCTGATAATTTCCTAAATTGGATATATTTAATATCATAGTTATGGTTTCAGGTGTTGTCTTTTTAGACATGTTTGGTCAATGCCGTTTAATATGACGTTTTCATAAATTAGAGAACGTTCTTAAGAACAAAGGACAATTTAATATGGCCTCCATTGTACAAATTTGGCCTCTGACAATTTCCATATCTCTTGCCCTTTCCCGTACCCTCAAATAAAGTTACCGCAGCTTTTCTCGTTTATCGATGCTGGGTTAAAGTTATTACGATAAACCTTTTGTCTTTGATTGTGACGTCTATCAAATGAGGCCGACGCTTTGATAAATGGTCAGAGAAAACGTTTGACGTTTGGCCAGTTAAACGACTAGTTTTGTGGTTGGGGATGATTGGATCGGCAGACATTGACACAGCAAAGTTGACGTTGAGCGATCGAGAAAAAGCGAATCCCTTCTCTAGATCAAAAAACGCTGGCCAATCTTAGCTCCTCATACACTCTTTGTAAAACTCTGCGAGGGTTCGTGATTGCGAATTTGAATTATGTCTTGTAGATTGACAAATTCGTTGAGATCTCAAGTCGTCTTAGTGATCGTCGCTTGACGTCTATCTTAGGTATCTATCGCTTTTCTTCGTCATTCATGTTTACAATTCCGATTAGGCGAAACACTGTCAATCCATTGTCTCAATTATCTTGCTGATCGAAAATCCCGATGGCTGCATCAGTATATATTCCTTGACCCTCGCCAACTGAATTCTTGAATACCGAATTCTTGAATACACAATTGCAAGTTCACGTAATAAAGATATTAAGTACTCTAATTTTTTTACTTGCTTTCGGCCGGCGGTTACAAGAGCTTCGTATTACAGTATTTTTTTTAAAATGCAAGCCAGAAATGAATTGGTCGGAACACATCCATCTGCTAATCGCGCGAGCGCCAATGTCTAACAAATACTAACTCTTCTTTCCTTTCTGTTAGTGCAGTTACTTGCATGACTATAATATTTCGTGTAAATTCTCCTATTAACGTTTTGACGCCACTGAACATGTCTTTGGTTCATTCTTGACTCGTTTGCCTAGAACTGTATCTTACAAAGTTGCTATCAGAACGTAATAATAACAATAACTAACTACCTGGATAGCGTTTCGTAGTAATTACGTTGTAAAAGGCTATCGAACAAATATCTTATCAATACATTCTACTCATTTATTTACGTGCTTATTTGATAGAGCAAACCTTTTTCTGGATATTAACAATGTCGCGCTGACGTTTAACTTTATCGTGATGTGATAAACGCCGAAGCTGGACTGTGACAACAACATCATTAGACTCATTAAGTAATATTTGCCTAGCCTCGCTTAGAGGCCATCATGGAAATACACAACTATATTATTTGAGATTTGAACTTTAGAATTCATCGGCAGTCTTGGATAAGGTATGTTTATTGATAGAATTAAGACTTATTTAATGACCAATATATGACAGCTAACAGGATATTCAGTTATTGCCAACTATTGCTGGCTGCCATGAGAGATCTGTGCGTAGAGGTTTCATTTGGATTCATCCGCAATTCTATTCCGCTTGCTTCTGCGTTTTGGTGGATCATTGACCGGTCCACCTCCTTTGGGATGGCCATTAATAAGCGGACAAAGACCATTAGATAGGCATTTCGGAAGACCTACTGTTCGTCTCTAGAATTCATTTTCACAGTTGTATCTCGCTTGGATTTTCTGCGTTGCGGCGGTGTAGGATCGATGACCGGTACACCTCCTTTGGGAGGGCCATTAATAAGCGGACAAAGACCATTAGATAGGCATTTCGGAAGACCTACTGTTCTGTTTCTAGAATTCATTTTCACAGTTGTATCTCGCTTGGATTTTCTGCGTTTTGGTGGATCATTGACCGGTACACCTCCTTTGGGCGGGGGCGGAGACGGACAGAAACCATTAATGCAAGTCGGAGGGCTTACGAATCTGTCTCTAGGTACATGGGTTTGCGGTGGGATGACCTGTCCATTTTCTTTGGGCGGAGGGCCTTCTAATCTGTCTCTAGGTACATGGGTTTGCGGTGGGATGACCTGCCCATTTCCTTTGGGCGGAGGGCCTTCTAATCTGTCTCTAGGCACATGGGCTTCATCCTGTGGGATGTTCCCCCCATGTCCTTTGGGCGGAAGCGGGCACACAACGCAAGGCACTTCCTCTTCTGTTCGTCTGGGCCTTAAATCTGTTGTTGGTCCGGTGGTATAGTTTGGATCGCCAAGAACCTCAGGCAACGTGGATATCTGATCTTGCTTGAAATTGACCTGCAATCTAGCCAAAATCGAAAGAAATAATTATAGCATGTTAAGTAGATAGTATAGAGAGGTATTATGTTCATAAATCATTACCGAACATTAGCGTCGTATAAATTATCTATTACTTACTTCACATCGATTGGATTCGTCGAAATTGCCAATGGTCTATATCATGGAAAACAACATTGATGAGTCTGTTATCGTGTGGTAAGGTACAATTGTCTGGTGATATTGAATTGATCTTACCTTGCGTTCACATATCTCATGTCAGCAAGGAAAGATGATATTACAATCACAATTCGGATCAAGTTACGGGTGTTGACCATTGTTATTAGAAATGTGGGTGGAATATAGATGATTGTGTGGTAGAAAGAATTCTTTCGTATCAGTACTCTTAAGGAATGACAATATACAAGATAGATCAAATGATCCGAATGTGCAAACTTTTACTCGATACTTTTCACTCTCGTTGCTATCCCTCCATTATATATAGAGATTTTTTTTTCTGGGTTAATAAAAATCCAACACTGCAAGATTTTTGTTTGTTACCTGTTTTTATTCCAATCGGGGTTCGGTGTGTGCATATCATAGTTCCGCAAATTTTAGTAGTTTTTTGGCTAACCAGAATAATTTTAGATGAAGATCGGCATGGAAAAGGAAGAACGCATTAAGACTTTGTTAAATGTTAAACCCAAATGTGTGAACGCTGTTAAGGTCGAGTCATCTAGCTTTTACAGAGATTTGAGACAAGCAGTCTTGTTTTGCGCACGAAAATATCGTAAAGATTCTACGTTGTACTGCGCTTTCCGCGGCGTCGGGTATTTGTACTACCACTGTTATTGTGTGAATATCCGAACATATTACCATTGGAGGAAAGAAGAAACAATATTAGAACCTCAACGAGATGAAACTTGCAGGAGACTGTTTCTGTGCATTAACCGCAAGTGTCAGTAGAGCATACTCTCTAAAATCATGGTGACTCAATTCAATTAAAAATTTAAGACTGTGTGATTGCTCAAACAATGAGAATGCCAAGCATTCAACACTCTTGATAGACAAGAATAAACAACCTACCACCTTACGCAGAAGAACAAAATAAAAATACCGACAGTCATGGCGTCCGACTGTAATTAATATACCTAATTAGTAAATCAAGGACGTTGCCGTGCTTTTTTTTCAGCGTGTGCTTTTTTTGCGAAATCAAAAAGCAAAGAACAGTTCCAAGGCAAACTAGTATTAATGCGGCGAAGAAGAGCCTTGTTAAATTTTCTATTCAAAAACACAAGTATGATTGATACTTTATTTTATGTAATAAAAACGCTCGCGGCGGCGAAGCTGAAACTAACCAATGGGGTTAGAGAATAGAATCTGATCAACCGATGCTTCAGCCGGAATCTCTGCATCAGCTCCCACATTAAATAGATGAATTAAGGGAATTACGACTGCGCAATACTTTTGTCCGCCCTCCCTGTATTATATTAATCCGTGTAAAGTGCATTTATTTAGAGAAGTCTGTGATCAAGTTAATTGTCATAAGCAGTTAGAACAGTGTCGAATTCAAAGCATTAAACACAATGGTGTAGAAATAGAACTACACGGTTGTTTGTTTACGTGTTTTTGCATTATTAGTTATGTATCATACATGCCCTTTCGGATTTGATTTTATTTTTGTAGAGAAATTGTGGCTTTTAACGAAATACTAATAGTTATAGCATTATGTTTACTGTTTTGTTGCCAGCTAAAAGTCACAGCCCATACCTACTAAACCGCCTACAACTTTGTCTTGATAGGATTCCATCTTTATTCGCTTAGCCAAGTTATTTGCAATGGGAAAGGCGGTGGAATGTTTCGAGTTTAAAGTTGCGAGTTGTAATCTTTCCGATCTTACGCATCGGGGGCTGTGTTGCATATATTCCCATGCAAAAGGGTCTTTTTAGATGCCATTTTAAGCAATACCGAGAAGAGATTGTAGTTTCATTGGTCACAAAACGATTAAATTTTAACATAAATTCTCACAGACCAAAAATCTTTTCTTCCATATCACTTTATTCTGCATCATGACGACTGCGATCAAGACTGCTGTTAAAGATCTCAAAGGTCGCCTTGACGATAAAGTTTGCGTTGTGACTGGTGCTGGCAGGTATGATGGCAGTTAGACGGGAATTGAGGTCATTGCATATGATTGTACATTCAATTTGAAAAATCGTGTCAAATGATAATCATAGTGGTATAGGATATGAATCTGCTGTCCTGTTCGCATCCCAAGGAGCTAAGGTGGTATGTGCAGATATTGACCTAGCCGCCGCGCAAAAAACTGTCGAACGAATCAAAGATGTGATTGGACCGATTCACTTGAGCAAACATGCGACAGCCATTAAAGTCGATGTTTCTAAAGAGGAAGAAGTTAGGCAACTTGTTGAGAATACTGTAAAAAGTTTCGGTATGTGTTTATGGAATGAGTTACGAAATTAAAGGTTTAGAATTGTTACGTTATTAATTGAAATTGAAAAAAAAAAACAGGCAGACTCGATGTTATCTTTAATAATGCGGGGATTATGCACCCTCATGATGAGGGAGTCAATACGGATGAGAAAGTATGGTAAGATATTAAAGTTCAATGTGTGGATTTAAAAAAAGGTTGTGTTTTAGTCGTGGTGTATATACACGTAGCCTTTCTATAATATCGTTCTACGATGAAATTTAATTCGCATATATGAATCCGAGGCTCTGACATATTACTGCACTCATCAAACGAATAGACTTGTTGCAATTTTAGCAGGAGAATCATTCTTACAAAGATGGATGGGATATGACAATTCGGGATTATTCGCTTATATTTTCTGTCTAGTAATGAGATCCAGCATTCTTTCTGTTACTTAACAAATTGTAAACAGGGATCTCACTTTGAACATAAACCTCAAAGGTGTCTGGTGGGGGTGTAAATACGCTATTGAACAGTTCAAGAAGCAAGACAAGGACAAGGCAAAGAAATCTGGTGGTAGCATCATCAACACTGCCAGCTTTGTTGGACTCGTTGGTAGCGCTACGCCATGTATAGCGTGTAAGTCTAGGAATTACACTGGTTATATGATTGTTTTTACGCTTTGTTCGATCCGTGTTCACGATTAATATTTTCATCTCACAGATACTGCATCAAAGGGAGCTGTTTTAGCACTTACGTATGTCTTTTGATTAACTGTTCTCTCTCTTTGATTGATTGAGTAATTATTAAAGAGAGACTATTCCCCAATTAGGCGCGAACTTGCAGTCACACATGCGCGGGATGGTATACGAGTCAATGCGCTATGTCCCGGACCATTGAACACGCCACTACTCCAGACCTTCCTTGATACTGAAGAAAAGAAACAGCGTCGATTAGTTCACGTACCAATAGGAAGATTTGGTGGGTGAATCGGACAGGATTATATTCTTGAGCATAGCACTAGACAGTAACGTATCGAACGTATAACCTTTGTTGTGTGGATTTCTTTTACAGGAGAGGCTATCGAACAAGCATACGCTGCATTATTCTTGGCATCAGATGAGAGCAGCTTTGTAACAGGTGTCGATTTCAAAGTTGACGGTGGACTGACTGCTGCTTACGTGGTACGTAATATTATCGAATTTACTGGAGATACTTGTTCTCTTTTGAAATATTATATTGATCGTTCTGTCCTCCGAATATAGACTCCGGAAGGTCCGTCGGTTATTACTCCTCGTAAACCTTTCTACAAAGCTGAGAAGGAGAAGAAGTGAACTCGAGTTTGAACGCAGTTTTTGGACCGATGTTAATCGACTGTAGTTATCTATTAGTAAAGAATGTATACTTGTAACGATAGAATTGAGGTTTGAGAACGTTCATTGAGGATCCCTGATATTATTGATGACAACTGTTCCGCGGATCGCGCGTATCTTGATAGCTTTGCAACCGAAAGAACTGTGGCTTCATTGGATGCAGAACGTGTAGACCCATGCCCCTTGACTGTTACCAAATGTCATACGCATAATTCGCATTTTCGCATGTGGTGGTGAGAATCAAAAATGCGATTATCTGTGAAATTTCATCTGATCGATCTGACATTTTACACATCGTCGGGTTTTATTTTACCTTATATAATCTGGGGAAAACTAGTTCTAATAATCCCTAATGCATTTACTATACGAAGAGGTTGTTAGATTTGGCTCTGTCGCAAGTTCCCATCACCGTTTAGACGTTCTCACTGCGTTTTAACTGTCGCTATATAGCATTGATTCTTGTAAACTGTCTTCCACGTTTTTTCCTGAATTGAGCTATGTTATCTCTTAAATTTAATTCCTCTTGAAGATTGACTTTTTCAGAAACCCTGTTTATGCCGGGCGGGTTAGCACAGCTCTTTGTGTCCGGTGTAATGAAATCCGTATATATGGTGTAAATGCTTATATTGGAAACGAAAATGATGCACAAGAATCAGTCCGGTATAGAGAGATTCCAGACTAACATCGCCAGTAAACACAGGTTTCATTGTATTAAGAGGATTATCAATTGCAGTCATACATTCGCGACGGAGGACAACTTTAGGGTCTCCAACCTTAAAGGGTTATCTTTTACCATACTGGATTATTTATAGCTGATAGATGTTCTAAATGCAATGTTCTCACACAATAATTTAGGTTTTCCGGTCACGTTTAGGCGTACGGCACTGATAGAGTTTAATTTAACATTAATAATGTTAATTGTGATTATTGTTATCAAGAGACAATTGATATTATTAAGATTCTAGGTAACAGTTTCTGATTTCCTATTCGACAAGTGTCAAACCCTTTAAGATGTGCCTGTATTATATCGTCGATTTCAAGGATATATGCAGGGATGACCATGTTTATGTCTTTTTTTTTGAAAGTCTGGGATTTCGTTGCCGTAATTTCAGAACTAAGTCGGTTGTCAAATACAGTGCTAAGACATTATACAATTTTATTTAAGCATTGCAATTTTATGAATTTGTACAAAGAGTTTTTTTATACACTTTCAGAACAATAGTAAAATAATAAACACATATTAACCAGATATATTTTTTTAAACAAAACTCGAGTCTTACTATTCATGTTGAGTGATTATTATAATTTTGTGTTACCAACTTCCATCATTACTAGCATCTTCATACCAAACAACTTTAACGAAATTACCATAAGCTATACAAACACCATTCTCTCCGATTTTCACCAGTTGTCGAATATACGCAAATGGCAACAGTTCGTTCAACTTTTCTTCTTCTTCGTTATAGCCTGCGGAATACGCCTTGGCAAGAATGTCTGGACGACGAATGCGCGTTTTCTGACGATAGTCGAATACTTGTCCTTCTTCATGGGCATGAGAATTGTGATCACTATCATGATGATCTTGTGAGTGATGATGCTCGTCGTCATGAGAGTTGTGATGTTCATCGTCATGAGAGTGAGAATGGCCTAAAGAAGGCATGACGGATGATGACACTCCATTCTGACTTTTTACATTGTTCATAGATATCACTCGCCGCCTCCTAACAAACCCAGACATTTCTCCGGGTTTCACCTGCATCCTTTTTTTAGTCGCTTCTTTTTTCCTCCGTATATCCTCAATCAACAAATCCTTCTCATCCACTAGACTTACGGTCCTCACCGTCAAGTCATCACCTTCATCATTCTCCAGACAATCCTGCTCACAAGTCTTCAAATCCTTCATCCACACTTCCCACTCGCCTTCAATGCCGTGAGATTTTCGCGTAGCTGAGGTGGAAAGGATTCTTTTGATGCGTCGGACACCCACTATATTACCGCGAAGTAAGACTATGGAACAACCGCCGGGTTGGCTGACACGACCGATTAATTTGGTACGGTAAGAAGCAACGCCATCCGAACGATCTACCGCTTGTTTAGCCTTTATTCGATAATGATTAGTATGTCCTTTTGTATATGATTGCTTCTGGGTAGCTATCTGTTTATTGCTTTGCCTATTGATATGTTCAGAGCCATTGGCGATGACAGTCTCTTCATTCACCTGCAATGCCATGCATGCGCAATCCATGGAATCTCTGACAAGTTTGTAAAAATTTACTTTCTCATCCAAGGAACTAGTTGTTATCCAAAACTCCCCAGAGTCTGTTCTTCCACATAGACACTTCTCTCCTTGTAAGAGATGAATAATAATGGATTTAATAGCACCCTGATGAAACATATCTTCACTGTTGAAAGTCTCTTCTTCGTCCTCTTCCTCTCCTTCCCCTCCTTCCTCTCCCGACTCATCCTCCTCATAATCATCGCTTGTTTCTTCGTCTTCGCTTTCATGAGTATTTTCATCAAGGTTATCAGACACTGTCTGCGTCTGCTGGGAATGCAGACTTCGTATTCTTTGCTGCTGCACAATTAACTGCTCACGCTGTCGTTGTAGATGTGAGGCATATTGATGTAATTTTTGAACAGTTTCTGGTGGTTGATCTTGTCCCTGCGATTGCAAATTCAGCAGTTTTTGCACTTTTAATTGTTGTTGTTGGAGTTGTAACAATTGTTTCTGATGATGAAGATATAGCTGTTGTAGTTTTTGTAGTTGTTGTTGTAGTTTGTTTTGTTGTTGTTTTTGTCGTTGCTGTTTTCGTTTTTGCTTTTGTTCCAGTTTTCGTTGTCGTCGCTGTTGTTGAGCAGCTTTATGCTGTGTTAATTGAGGTTGCAGTTGGTCCCCTGCTAATTTTTGCTGCTTTTTCTGTTCTTCACGCTCTCTCATTTTTTGTTGTTTGATCAGAGTACCTTGACTTAACGTGGCTATTGGGTTACCAGAAAAGTAATCATAAACTTTTACTTCACCGTCTGCAGCACCAGTGACCACAACACCGTAACATGACGTCTCGGTCTTGGCAATTTTTGTAGCAATACACGTTATAGCGTTGTTATGTTGTCCAACTAGGGTATAAAGAGGCTTCCATAGACTTGTGGGTTCGACGTCAGCAATTTCATCTGACTCATCATTTTCGGCGTCATTTCTCCTCAACCAACATCTTACGGAACCATCTCTTGCACCAGTGAATAGTCTCAAACCTTGGAAATTGTCAACGGATTCACTAATACAAAAACAGCTTATACCACTTTTCTGATTTGTAGCAATGGTATATATTAACTTGCCAAATTCTAAATCCCACTCGCGAACAAACCCATCCCTATAAGCGGCAAGTAACACGGTCTGCGGATTGGCCGCCTTGGATTTTTTCTCATACTGTGATGACATTGTTGGAGAGTCAACAGCGTTAGGTTGTGTGGTTACAAATTGCAAGCATGTAACTCTTCCTTTAGATAATCGATTATTCGTGTCAGCAGGTACGACAGACTCGACATCATCCATAGGATCTTTCAAAATGTGCATGGCTTGGCCAGTTTGTATATCCCATACCCTCACTACTCCATCTTCGAATCCAGCAGCGGCCAACTCTACGGTCTCATCCGTACATAGAGCTCTCACAGGCCATGCGATGCATTGTTTCATTCCTTTCGTAGCGCCACATTTGCATGATTCGCACCTACGCAGGTAGCGCTCGAGTTTCATAGACAGGCTACCATGGTGTCCTTCCCACGACGTAACGCGTTTGTCTGTACTGGCAGAGATAATTATTCCATTGGATCTAGCACAGAGAAGGTCCACGTCAGCAGCATGTCTGCCACGCAGAGTGACAATACGTGGAGTGGTGTGTCGGAGGTCTGGCAGGTCATTCATAGACGAAGTCTTCCTTATATTACGCGCATTGTCCGGTCCGTCGTCGCTGCTTGTAGACAGAAGGAAAGACACAAGGTATGATATACCTATCGTGATACCAGCCGCAGGTGCTATGATATACTTGACAAGAGTGACTATGCTCTTCAATATGTGTCTGAATACTTGTTGAGATCGGGTAACAACATCTAATGTCCAAGCATTTAGTGGGCCATTATCGTTTACTGCGTCTTTGTTTCGTCCATGAATCGTGACGTATTTTGTTCTTAACTCGAAACACTGGTTGGTTCTATTCGGATTAACTGCTTGCCAGAAGCTGTCTGCCATATCTGTAGCGGCAGTTTCGTAGAATTTGTTGTTAATTACCGGTATTTCGTTAGTGAAGATATTATCATATGATAAATTTGTGGGGGACTCAGGATGTGGGTAGGATCTAGCAAGGATTCTAATTGCGAGAATTACCTGCGAAAATTCAATTGTAAAGTGAATATGGCATGCACAACAAACGTGTTGTTATGAATTAAATCCGAACGTACCGTAATTAGACCTACAGTTCGCCCCTTTTTGAACATTCGTGAAGTTGACTCCCGAAGATTTCTAATAGAAGTGACTTCCTCGTAATGCGGTTGACGTTTATACAAGTCAGCCATCTAAAACATGATAAATTTGTTAACATGTTAATCTCATTCCTTTTTTTTTTGTTTCCTTTTGAGCAACATTGATACATATTGGCAGATTTGTACCTCCAATCTTTTTATATCAATAGATAATGTGGCGACAAAAAACGTCATTTGTAGTATATAGTCAATCACCACAGAAATCGAAGTGAAGAGACAAAATTCTTGAACTGAATCAATACTTATCGCCGCACATATTAGCAAAACGATCAGTTCAACGCAAAGTCTCTTTGTCATCGAGGGTCCAACGGCGCCAATACCTAATTAATACGTCGCTTAGTGCAATTCATTATTGATAATAATATCATTGATCTTTCTCCTTACGCATGATTCACCTGCAGCTACACGTTCGGTCACTGGTAATTGCATTGAAGTTGATGTAACCGCATTGGTCAGTTGAAAAATATTATCCACGCCAACAATCATGATCATGAACGGTAATATCTCCCTATAAATATTATGAACTTGTTAATTGATTGCTTATCACAACAGCATCATACAACATCAATACAATATTTTATGTGTTCGCTCACCAAGGCAATATTGTCAATTTAAATCCCAACAGAGAACATATGCTCAGAGCGACCGTGAGAGAGGCGAACACTTGGGCTAAAGCAGCAAATCCAAGACCAAATTTAGATTTGACCAAATTAAGCCTGCCCAATGAGAGCGAAACGTAGAGAAAGCCAACCAGATATCCAAGAAAAAGAAGAATATACTCGGCCTTATGATCACGCGGGCGATTGTTAAACTGGTTATATTGACACGAATAAAGCATTTCAACGAAGATGAGGATAAAATACGATATTTGAATTAGCATCACCGATTATTCTTTCCTTCTTAAATACAGATTCTGCTTTTCTGTTTAATATTTTCTTACCTGCAAATATAAATGTTTTGATTCACCTTCAACACGCAAATCCACACTATCAATCAACGTTCCCCCGCCAACTTGACATATATCACCATTTTTTGTCACCTGTTCCCATATCTTTTCCCACAAATCTATTGCTGTGGCTTTCAAAAAATACGTCAAGATGATGCTTTTAGCGCCCTTTATCTTGGTACTTTTTGTATATACAATATCGCCAAACACCGATGTCAACGGCATTCTAATGCCATGCAATGATACCTCGTCAGCATTTTGCAGAGTTTTTATAATGTTAATGTCTGAAAGTAATGTCTGTTCGTTGTTGTCCCAGAAACTGAGGGGTGATTGGATTAAACATTCATTACCGCCAAACGGCTTGTAGCATAGGTCTTTAAGTTTATAAGGCCTTATGTCAGCCGTGAGCTGGTTAGATTGAGAGTTTGTTGGATTTATAATTTCTGCACTTGCAATCTTGTCCATCAATCTTATAGACCACAGCAACAGCTCTTTCTCAAGAACGCCATAAGCTCCATTTTTTGCTGCATCGGTAGTGTTAATCACTATCTGTTCAACATATATAAAAGGCTGGGTCGCCGAGCACTTTTCTCTGAATAATTCTTCTGTAACTTCTCTTCGCGCCGATTGCAGTTCCCAGAAAAGTGGTTCAACAGCATTCTTTGGTGTTAGATAGTATGTTTCCAAGGCAGGATAACACATGAGGAAGACGACACATGTCGCAAGTATTATTGTAGCCACTTGATGAGAAGCACAAAACTTGCCGCAGCGACAGAAGTAGTTAGCGATGGAATCTCCTATAGCGAATATTCTTTTGAGTGATTTGGCAGGCATGGTATTTTATAAAGTTTTATGACTACTGGCGATGGTTGTTTGTGTTGAGACTTTTTCTAATTAATGGGAGAAACCAATATATATACTTGTTGTATGATAAATAATCGTGATATCGCAATATTATTAGCATTAAACGAATATTCGACTATTTCATCGTGAACGACATTTAGTCAAAGGTGAGTGGATAAAGATACGTTTTCCTTGCGGGAAAGCAGATAAATGCACGTAAATGGTACAGTGGCTTGCCCTGTACCAGAAAAAAACGCCCCCCACGATCTGCTTGTACGACGTTATCACGTTCTAACTTTGTTTTCAAATGAGATGTCGCAACAATATCTTTCCAGGTATTTATGTAATGCATACCGGTTTTATTAAATTTTAGTTAATTTGACGCAAGCTTGCACCAACTTCTTGCATCTGTTGGCTTGAAAACTACACAAACGATGAGTTATTAAGCATTCTAGAACTATTAGAACAGTAATCGCGTAAACTGTTTCATTATGCTATACATCACTTTCCTCAAAGTATTATATCATGCCACCGTTTTTGGTACCTTAAATGGGTTGTACAATGAGAGGACAAGATATCGCCATCTTTCCGATACGAAACATTCCCACAGCATGTTACATTACCAACCGAATTACTCAGCACATATTGAACTTAATTTAATAAAAAAGCCATTATAATTTATATTTATTTATTGTGCGTCACGAACCTATATGAGAGAGAGCTCTTGTATTTTGTTTGCGCCTTTATGAAAATCGTCTCTTGTCACGTAACCGCTGTCCCGAGTTCTAATTGATACATGATGTTGATTGGTTAAAAAATTTTTTTTATGATCGACTTTATGATTGGCCCTTATGGTAATAACCTTCCTATTAAGTTATGCATATACGTATATAGCTAATGGGCTTTATTGTAGTCTTCATGCAGATACGTATATAGCTAATGGGCTTATTTGTAATCTGATAGATTGTGCACAATAATGTTATCTTAAGTGAATAGTAAAAACCCCACAGTCCTGTGCATTGGTCACAACAGGCGATTGGATAAAGGTTTTCTGCCAGTAAATATCTTTGTCATGATTAACATGCCACTTCAATTTTATGCATTAACATAGGGTTTCTCATCATGTCATGCGATTCTGCTCTTCGCTGTTGTTTATTATAACTACATCCACTGCTGTCTTAATTGTGATATTATTTAAGAAACTTTTGTTCATAAGTCTCTTTACGATATGTCAGTTAGTTGCGAACGCAATCTTTCTTTTGTTACAGTTGAGAGCATAGCAAGTTTAGGTGTTGAGTATCAAAAATTCTAGTCGCATAATCTGCAACAATATATGGGAAGACACAAAGTTTAAGTCACGTGATGTGACATACTGTAGACTTGTTCAGTAGTCTGCGATCACCGCATACAAAATGCTATCAATTTTTAGCTATTTTGCGCTATAAACTTTTGATGTACATTCATATGTAAACTTTGAGTCTGCTTATACATGACCTTATTCTACGGAAATACGACAACTTAAGTTCGTAACCCAGACGTTAAACATATTCATAAACGTTATGTTACAACACACCATACAAATTAATTATAATGAAAAGTTGGGCATAAGCCAAGAACTCCACCATAGCAGGAGTTTCCATAATGATATGTATGATCTATTATATTGTGACAAAAAAAATTTTTATAACGCGATTCCATTGTAACGTCATTTATTATAGCTGTACATAGTATTTAGTTCCAAAATTTTAAAATATTACTCTGTTATCTGCCGAAAAATAAATTTATATTTATTATGTAAAAATATGGCAAAATTTAGTAATCCATACATTTGGATAGCGTTTGTGCAAAATTGTAAAGTAAAAATTTTTTACTAATACGTTGCGTACCCTTTAGCATATTGAACTGCTTTGGTTCTACTATTCATGCTTAAAATAGGGTTTTGAAACACAATGTCCGACTTTTCCATTCTTCTTGAAGACGCGCAGCCGATTTACGATTTTCTCTCAGATTTTGTAGTAAGTTCCTTATTCTAATTTTGTCATTCAAGCTCATCCTGTGACTGTTCAATGGGAACTTTGTCCAGGCCATTTCATTAACTTATATCTGTACTATTAAAAAATTTTATTGTCCAGTTTGCTTGCATATAATGCGTGTGTCACGTCTGAGTTCGGGGCCTGTCTCAGTGTCACACTCAGTTCTGAACCCAGACACTCGGTCCGGAACTCAGTCCAGAACTGAGACAGGTCCCCAATCAACGCTACGCTCATACAATACATATTTGAGTATACAGACATGCCTGAGCAATCGAGTATTGCTTACTATCTGACGGTTGCGGTAAGTGCATGACCCCTCAAATGGTCGACTTGTCAAAATCACGTAATTGATATACATTTAATTAAACCATTTATTATCGTAGATCACTGAATACAGTTAACCCCGGGTACAGTCATACCTCAGTTATATTCCCTCGGTAAATTGCCTTACTATATGTCAACCGTGTTACATAAATATTATGTTATTTGAATTTCTGTCTATAGTTAATGTATCCTTTGTTGGTTAGTGCATTAATGCTGTGCACTATATATTCTGGCATGTTTACTGAATATGACACATCTCTCATATCTCAGAATTAGTTTTTCGCTGCCAAAAAGGACAATACTTTTCAATTAGCATTGTTGTGAATAAGACGTCTCGATTTTAATATAAAAGGAGGCATTTCCGCGGTTTAGTATTTACGAGCGTCAAACGTCATTAACAGAGTATATTAACCAATAAATTTCGTGTACTACCAAAAAAAAATGCGTTATACTATTTACCATATTCAGTTACAGATATATACTGTATATCGATATCCCCAGAAAGTTTCCGTCCCAAAGTGAGGATATGAACGTTGGATGACCGTATGTATATACCGTTATAACTAAGAGGTCGGGAACATAAGGCAAAAATTCCAAGAAATTCGGTATAACGAGGTTCGACTGTAATAATGAAGTCGACCCTCTTTATAGTCGGGCAACTTTCGTTGAAAATGTGCTTGTAAGAAGTTGTGATTGTATAGAGGGTCCAAACATGGTGTGCAAATAAAGAGGTTTTATATGATGTGCCTATAGAGGGGGTGACTATAAAGAGGGATGACTGCACTTAAACCATCTTGATTGACTTGATACGTACCCGGGGTCGCGTGGAAACAAGCACACGTCAGCGGTCTACGTTGCAAAATAATCTTACAGACTAGCTTGTCTCAGAGTTTTCTTCTTATCTGACGTTGTAAATCTTTCATTCCTGACAACAGAACTGCTTACACTCGCGTTATTTTACTGCATGGCTTTAATCATATGAACGAATGCACGTTCATGACATATTTATCGTTTTGTTTATAACATGCCAGTTATGAGTATTTGTGTAGCCAATGTATAAAGTAATTGTATTGGAGAATTAATAATCGTACGGGTGTGGTCCGCCAATTAACTGAAGAAACTCTGGGTTGCTTGAGATCTTAGTAACTCTGTGTACACCAGCTCCGGCACAAGTTACACATACCATATTAATATAGACCAGTTTACTTTAAATTATATAAAAGTTTTACTTTATGCGAAGTGATCATTCATGTGTATTAATAAATTGTTGGATGAACTTGAGAATTGTCACAAATTTTTTCGACGTTATCACATAAATTCTGCACTTTATTGGTGCAAGAAATGTGTGCGACCTGGCAGGTATTCGACTTTAATATAAATGTTCCGGCCCAGTTAGCACATTCTATTTCGTTATTATCACACAAACAATGTTAGTTGGATGTCGCTTATTGGTTGTGATATTAGATGATGTGCCTAATGCGGGCTGCGGGCCAGAACGACTATTTTTCTTAAAAAAACCGTTACTTTTCAAATCCCTAAAACTCAAAACTTTTTTAGTTGACTAGAAAATCTAAACCGTAACTTTTGTTCTGCATCATCTGCTCTATTATTCTTACGGATTAATTTTCCTCCATATCCTATAAATAGAAAAGCTTTAAGGTTCTGAAAGCTGGATAGTTTATTTCGAGCTTTAGATGATCCACAAATGTAAAATGTGCTACCCATGTTATTGCGTCATGTCTCAGGTTAGAAGAAAGCCTTTAGTGGATCTTGTAATATCGTTATGCCAAGAATAATAAAAATGCCAGTTGTTCGTTGTGACAATTACGAACTTTTAAGCGGAAATTGACTAATACTAACTTTTGTGCCTTCAGTTAACGAGCAGAAGATAGCCCTTAAAGAGTCCCTTTGCTAATTCCAAATTTTCTAGGTATGTTCATTGTACTTTATAATTGCAATTCTCGTCAATTATGTCACACGGCAATTCAGGAATTAATCAGTATGGTTTGTATTTAAAGATTTATTAATTCTCGAGAGCCAGCTAGATGGCCCGATATGCAGGTAGCATAATATCTCGTCTCCTCTCGCGTTTCCCTAGCGTGTTACGCACCAATAGTTCACTTTGCGCTAAACCTGATAATCATATATTACAAGACCAAAATCTACACTGTCATCATAGCTTAAATCCATCTATGCTATTTTATGCACAAATATACAATGCTTGTAGCAATCAACTCCCACTTTTAATTAACCATCGCCTATCCACTTTCATGGTCTTCCATACATTGCCCATTACCGTTCTCGCACCACCGGTCGTCTTCGGATATCCAGTAATGTTCTCATCCGCCTCAACCATAGAAGCTTTGATGTTGCAGAGTTCTCTAAATGCAAGCGCCCAGCAACATTTCCCATCGTCTTTCTTTTTAAAACTAGCCAAATACAAAGCACTCGCTTTCAATTTCATCTCCAAGTCTAATGCTGCGTTATACACCGATTTTCGCTCTGTACACCTTAGATGAAGGTTCTTGTACATGGAGGGTGTTGGGGTCGTACGAAATTTGTACAAGAATAGCTCGTCTATGTCATTGTCAATAGAAGCAGGGAAGAGAGAACATGGTGATATTGCGGTCCGTTTCCTGTGCGACTTTTGGCGTATAATGTTCTCCCGTTCCCTTTCTTCATCCATTATGTCTCTATACGTTCTATTGTACTCAACTACCAAATTGTCCATAGATTTACGAATCAACTGCAAATCTTCCAAGTATGTACTATCACCCAATTTCTTCATCATCCCCGCTCGCTCTACTTCCTTCTGCCAAAACCGTCCTATGTGCTGGTCCTGGTCGTTCGTAGAATTGGGTATTATAGAAAAATTATTTGAATTAAATATACTCAGTTCTTTTTTCATAAATTCGTTGACTATATCTAACGGAGACTGAGTTCCCGATCGTCTCATAGAAAATGCATCCGAGCTGTCCAGGTCGAAGTGACTGCATCCTTTTTTCCTTTCTCTTTGATCAATAAACCACTGTGGCCAATCGAGTTTGCTGACCTCTCGACCATCAGTTTGAGATTTGCCTTCTTTTAATTTAAGACTTTGTTTGGTGGCATCCACAAGCTTAGCGCACATCTGACCGAAATATATAGATTTTTCATGGTCTATGCCAAATTTGGCTGACCAAATCTGATGGTAAAATGAATAAAGTCCTAGTTGATTAGTTATATCGTCGAACAGTGTATCGACTATCCTTTGTTGAATAATGCGTTCGGCAGATTTAGTGTCTCTGATATCTCTCAAAATGTCCACTACTCTCTTGTCATTCTTGCAGAATGCCTCCTCCACCTCGGGTCTAATTTGATCTACTTGGGTGTTGTGAAACCCATTTACTATTCTAGGATCCCAGCAACAAAATATCTAAAGCATGTAATAGTATTGAAACAATTAATTACCGGACAGTAATCAAGTAGACTCTCAACAGCTAAGCAACGATTTATACGACTATTACTTACAATATCTCCATCATAATCCCCACCACTTAGCCTATTTGCAATAGACCCTTCGTCCGTAGGTCCTAATCGTGTCGGAAATACCACCACGTTGCGATAACCCAACAATTCCGCCTTCCTCACTGCTCTCACTTTCCACACGTCAGAGGGAAGATAAGCGGGATTTCTGGCTAGTATCATATCGGCTTCTATAACGCCAAATGGACATCCACTTTTTTCATCTCTCCCCGCATTCCCATCCAACTGCAAAAATACTTCTCCTGGTCCAAGCGTGTTTGTCGGATCGGCTATGCAGCACACGACGCGTGATAAGGGGACTATTATCCGGAATTTTCGTGTCATTGCCTTGACGGCATTCTTGAGAAAAAGAGTTATTTTCCGAGCAAGGAATGGACATTCTTTTGGCGTAAACCCAGCAGCCAGCATTTCTATCGCTGTTTCGCCGATGTTCATTGGCATTGCAGATATGGTGGGAATGTCATCTGACATATAATCTGAAGAGGTCTCGGCAATCGTTCCATATGAGAAACCATAATTCGATTCCTCCAACCTCAGTTTCATCAAATTGCCAGTATCCTCTAACCATTTAATTAATTTGGTTTGGTCATTGCAATTAATGACGGCGGATTTAAGCTTGTCTATATTCTCTTTCAGAATTTCGGTAAAAACGCTTACGTCGACCCCTCCATGAGCCAGGACAGGTATGAATTGACTATTTAACGAACCGGGCATGTTTGGTGCTTGAAAAACTTTACAAACATCCAAGGTTCTCAAAAGTTCATCGTCTCCTCTTTCTTTAAGTAATTGTTCGTCCTTGCCATATATCCAGTATTTTAACTGGCTCTGTCGAATCTCGATCCAATTTTGGGTATTATCCATTAGGGGATCAAGATACCATAAGCCTTTCGCTCCTCCAATGCGGCCCTGTATGGCGCATGGTGTCACGGTTTCATTAAGCACATCCGCGACTTGTCTCATTGCTTTCAGACTTATTGCCGCACAACCGTCAGTCATGCAATATTTCTTGCCATGTCTTCCTATAGCATATATATCGTCAACGAGCCGAATTTCGTCCGGTTTGAAGACAATTGTTTGTTTTGTATTAGAAAGACCCAGCGAAATTCTGCTAAAAAATTTATTAAACGTCATATCTACGTTTTGATACGAAACCGGTATGTGCCAGTTTATAATGTCCCACAGAGGTTTGCGTTGTAAGCCCGGTCCACTAGTAGCAAAGTAGTAGAATGTTCCATCCTTCCCATAAAACATTTCGTACTTCCTCCCCAACAAATCTATAGGCCGCAATAGCTGTTTCTTCAGCTTTTCCAAGACTTTTCCAGAGATATTGCTAATGCTCTCCGACAGACGAATAAGTAAAAATCGTTCCGATCCCCACTTTCTATAAAACCTCTTGGATCGACCAACCTTTATGGGATCCAAACTAATTAAATATCGATTGTTTGATAATGTCAATTTGGCCAGAAAAACTATGGCCTGATCAACGTTAATATTTTCCGTTAGTGTCCATACGCGATTGAAACTTCGCTTTGGTATCGCATGCGAATCAAGCTCAGTGCCATAGCCTCTCTCAATGTACATGTGCTTGAGCACGTCATACAACTCATTTCCGGCACAAACTCGCAGCAAATCAGGTTCAAAGTCTTTCCAGTCTAATAAACCGAATGGGTGAAAAAATCGGCATATTTCAAATTGTTCGACAAAATTAAACTTTTTCAGTTTTTTCAATACAAGAGCCGGCATGCCAATTGGCATATAGTTCAAATATTCTGTCAACCTGCAACCAGCAGGCGGTTTCGCAACCCAGGAAATGTCATCAGTCATACTATTGACGGGCGGCGTGAGCCAAAACGTACGTTCATCATCCGACTTGTCCGACTTGTTATCGCTAATGCTTAGCCGTGTGACCAATTCTATTGTAGCTGGCGAAAGTTGCGGCGCAAACAAGCGACGGCCTCTTGAAGGTGTATTCCGGAAAGCGACGTCTGTATTAATGTTTGTAGTGGGGGTTGCGGTAGGCCGGGAAGTTAAGTCCAACGCCTTCTTCAATTCAATAGACGTTTCCTTTTGCAGACTATTCACCGAGCGGCCGTTTGGCTCTTTCAAAATGCCCAAGAGTCTCTTTGCCACTGTTGCCAAATATTCTACGTTAATTTCGGCCAACTTCTGCAGATATCTTTTATGCTCTTGGGTTGTGAAAGGTTCACTCATGCAAAAACGACATTTCGCTTCATAATTAAAAGTGAATGACCAATGCTCTACTGAGGGATGGTACTCCATTTTCCTCGTCCTCCTTTTCTTTTTAGGTGATGATGCTGTTTAAGAAGTAAATCAGTCGCGACGCGATTAAGTAGATATGATTTATGCGTAATAGCACATTACCATGCATGATTTATTTACAGAATGATGAGAGAGAGATGTTGGTTGAGCAAACGGAAGGATTATCATCAAAAATTTCCCAAGTGGTGATTAAGTTACGGCTAAGCCACATTATGCATGATCGAATAAAGGGTTAGTGTAAAAACTAAATTACCCCTTTTGGTGCCTGACAAAGCTTTTCGGCAGATTTTGATGCGACACAATGGCGAAGTAAGGGACTTACGTTCGTAGATGAATTCTTATCTGGATGTAATCTGCATGATCAGATGCAAAAAGGTGTGAATCAGTAAGATTCGGCAATGTTGAAACCCGTTTGCCAACAAGATAAAATGACAAAGAAATGCCGATTGTACACGATTATAATGAAAAGAAGAAAAAAAAAAACGCCCTCCTCACAGATAACGGCATGACTAGTACATTAATGTTTATTTAGCGTTGGGAGATTGTCCCGAGAGTATAAGGTATCATAATATTCCCTTCATACTGACATCTGTGAGTCGACATTTCGCAATTGGCAATCATAATCTGTTCTGTTTATACCGATTATAATAAGGTCTATAGTAACTTTTAACTCAATTGTTTGTTAACAAAAAACAATTGGTTTCCATTCTCTTAACATTAAATAGTGTCTCATTATTTTTTTCCCAGAGAGTAGTAGCAGCAGCAAGCAATAGAATAGGCACTTGTTTTGAATTTATCTCGCTCATAACTTGACAGTAGGCAATGTTTACCGTAAGTTAGTATAGGATTGCTTAATATTAACATGATTTCTTACGAGGTTTCGGAAGTTATCGTATTATCTTCATCTTATGCGTTGCAATTGGTGCAAGCGGCTGCTTTGGGTGTTGCGGCTTCTTGATGTAATCACGTGTTAATTTCAACACGATAATAAACACTGAATGCCTAACAAGTAAGGGCTCTTAGTCCGTACTTCGATAGTATGCACGCAACTGAGATCTCTTGAATCTTGATGAGCAAATTAACATGTTTATGCCAACGGATGAACTGAATTTGATTTGATATGTTCCTTTTTATACGACGACTTGATTCATTCAGATATTGGTACAGGCATTGTTAAAGAAAGGGTTTCATTTTTCATACTGCTACTACTAGTTTTTATAAAATTATCGCTTCTCTGTTTGTCAAGCAACTTTCGGGATATACTTTTGGTTGATTGAGATTCATCCACGCCAACTGATTCAACGACTGTTATTTCATTCGATTTTCTCTCTATTTTTGCGACTTGTAATAACAGTTCCGGTGACGATGAGTGAGGCACCTAACCACCACTGGAGATGAAGTGCTTCATTAAACAACAGGTGTCCAAGTATCGCCTACGAAAAAGTCGTGGATACAAGATGAAAGTTAGGTAGCAAAATACAGATGTTGGGACTTGTTACAATGAAACATGATTTGTTGTAAACCTAATGTAGATTAAAATATACTGACCGTCATACAAAAGTTAGTTGCACTGTTGACCACTGTTACTTTGACGCTAGAAGTCGACTTATTTAGCGCCTTAGTATAGAAAGTCCACATGGCCGCATTACACAGGAACATAAGACCGACGCAGAGAGCACGAATTGGATAGATCAACTATTGCAATAGTCAGAAATAGCATAACATCACAACTAACCATCAGACATAACGCGCAATTGGATTAGAATCAATATATACATACAAATGTATATAATATGTGTACATCATCATACATACTCCATTCTCGACGTCTTCACATCCAGATGTATATACTGCTTCACAGACGTATACGGTGAACGAGAGCGTGCGGGAATCGCTAAACAATTTTGCCGAGACAGATGCTAATGCTGCGAACGTTCCCGAAAGAACAGAATACAAGAGGAAATCCGTAGGCATGATCTAATGAGCGAAAACAAAAATGAATGCAACATCAATGCGATGGTCCAATGGCTCCGATTGGGTGTATAATCAGTGGCTTAGACTAACGTTCAAAGAATCAAGTTATGCTTGTACCATTGCAATGCTCATGTCTATTTATTGCTACAATCTTATGTGCCAGGCCATTCCTCGTTGTTCGCTCTAAGCGTGTACTTATTACTGACGTTGGCAACAATATTGACATGCTGTCTGGATATCCCTTAATGTCAAACAGGTCTCTTCTATCCTGAATGAGGAAATGAGTTCAAATTATGAAAATACTATTCAATTGACACTTTGACAATTTAACAACGGTTCGTAGTATCTTCTTTTAGTTTTATGTATGAAATGCACCGTCTTATCTCTATCAATGCTCGCTTTTCGGTCGGGTCAGATTTGAAAACATTCGTAGATCAATTGTTATTGTTATTATTATGGTTTTGGGAAATTTCAAACAATTTACGGGTTTGCAAAAGCCGATAATCTATAACTTACGCAAGCAAGAAGAACAAAATAATTTACAACGATAATGGTATTTGCTCAATTAATTATCTCCAGACTACATTGAAAGATTAGATAATTGATCAAGTGTTTTATTATTCCACAAAACTCCATTTA